TCTTGAAATCCTACTCCTAAACCCGCGTGTACACCTCAGCCCAAAGCTTGCCACAGAAACCTTCAAAATCAAGGATCTTGGTCTAGAAACCTCCAGCTTCTCCTTTCATGCCTGTCTAGGGCTTCGGAGTTTGGGGCTTAGGTTTCGGGGTTCTGGGGTTTAGGGGGTTAGATCCCTTTAAGGAGCCCTTTAAGAACCCTTACTAAGTCCCCTGCCCCTCCAGGGTTGGGGAACAGCTAAAGACCCTGCCCAGGGCCAGAACTGCCCGTAGGCAAAGATGGTGCAGTTGACACCATCCAGGGCTCCGAGCACCAAGTCCTGCCCACGGAATCCGAAACCCTTTACCGCAAGAGATAAAACCCTAAACCCCTGAAGCCGTAAACCCCTGAACCCTAAACCCCGAAGAGCCCTAAACCCTAAAGCCCTAAGCCCTAAACCCCAAACCCCTAAACCCCTAAACCCCTAAACCCCAACCCCTAAACCCTAAACCCTAAACCCTGAACTCGAAATCAATGGGTGTTGGAATTTCTGGGTGGTCGACAGGGTTAGCCCTGCAAATCTTAGTGCTTCAGGATTTAGAGCTGAGGGATGTTGGGCTGACAAGGATGTGGCTTCTGTGGTTGCTGGCTTTGGGTTCGGGGTTTTGGGGTTTAGGGTTTAGGGGTTTAGGGATTTCGGGGTTTCGGGGTTTTGGGCTTAGGCGTTTTAGGGTTTAGGCTTAGGGTTTAGGGGCTTTGGGGTTTTGGTTTCAGAGTAAGACTTGACTGGAGAGATCTGGGTTCCGAGGTCGGGATTTCCAGAAGCAACCACTCATTAAGTCTCTGGCCTCCCAAACACACCTGATCCTGCAAGAGGTGCCCCGAACTCTAAGCCCTAAACTCTAATCAAGTCCGCTCTCCAAAAAGCCCTAAACTACTGAAACCAAAGCGCCGTGCATCGCGACACTGCAAAACCCGGAACCCTTGTCCGTCGCCCCACCACTGTGAACTCTAAAACCCTCATCCTCTAACCCCAGATCCTCCTTTAAGCCCAAAACCCTGAAAAGCCTTAAAATCCCCCTGCCTGAACAAAATACCACAAATCCTGAACGAAGCCCTAAACCCAAGAACAACCGTGAGCTGAATGGAAAATTCAGAGTTTCGGGCGTCAGGGTTCTATGAGGAGTTTTGGGGCGTCGGTTCATTGCTTAGAATTTGAAGTTACAGTGTAACACCCATATCAATATCGAAATCGAGAGACTAGTAGAAAGCAGACGAACAAATATGTCCAAGGGTGAATTCCATGGCGCGCTTTGGTAGCGCTCGGGGAAACAGCTTAGGGTCAGGCTTACGCAAGTAGGTATCGATGTCAACAGCCTCGAGAACAATTCCTAGTTAAGGCTCTAGAAAAAACCAATAAAGTATTGAGCACAGTATCCCAAATCGGTACCTAGCAAAGATTTAGGGTCGCTGGCTCACGGCGAAGCAAAGCACAGATGGTCCTTGGCCGCGGCATCGAAGACTGCCCTTTGCGTGGCATCCGGGCCGAAAACGCGAGAGAATCGAAAGCTGTACCTGCAGAGCGAGCCCGAACGTTGCTTCCGTCTGTGTTGCGACGGTCGCAAACAAATTCTTTCAACTTTTCCCCGAAGATTCCTTCAACCTGCCCCAGCAAATTCCCTAAACCCGAAACCCTAAAACCCTAAACCGTAAAGCCTTCACCCTAAACAGTAGTTGAAGGAACCGGAGTTGAAGAATGTTGGTTGACAGAAACGCCACAAGTTGATGAAGACGGCTCAGACCGTGTTGCGACTATCCCTAAACCCCAAATTCTCAACCCTGAATCCTACACACTTAACCCGAGGGCTCTGCAATCGTGACTTCGTGAACAGAAGTTGGCGCATGTTGGCGCTTCAAGCAACGGAAGCGCCGAACACTTCGACTAAATTTATTCTATCTATCCCCTGGCAAGATGGGCTTAGTTCCACAATCCTCACGATTCAAAGCCTTATTTCGGGCGTGACAAAGCGCGGCTTTTGCGATGGTTTAGGGTTTAGGGTTTTCCTTTGCCTTCAGTGCCGGAGACATCCGAATGGTCCCAGGGATGACACGTGCCCTCAGATCTCGTCGAACCTTCTGCGTACAGTAGAAGCCAGAAAGTTGGAATATCATCATCGTAACCCCTTTGAGGTAAATTATAGGGGATCCTACCATTAATCCATATTCCAACTTTCTGGAGTTCCCTTTACTCTGTAAATTATGAGCTCGAGTGGTGAACCGGGAAGGTTCACATTCAGTTTTTACATTGTTGTTTAAGGGACTCGCAAGCACAACTGCTGTTGATGAACAAAATCCTGCATGACCTTCAGGACCCTAAACTATGGGAATAATGGTATACTCCTTATAATGGGTAATGCAGGATTTTGTCCATCAGCCGTATGTTGACCAGATGCAGACAACTGTGCATTGGCCACACGTTGGTACTTTTCCATTCTGCTGCTGTCTACATCCCGACGGCGTCGTCATCGTCGTCGCTTTTGCGGTAGTCGTAGTCGTAAGCACACAAAGAGCCATAACTATCTCTGTAAATGGCCCTTGTTATGGTGCATTGTCATCTTGACTGCATCGGAGAGAGACCACTAGTGCGCTGCTATTATCAGTAGTGTTTTTGTTGGCCAGTGTTAGTACTATCTGTGTTTCAACATCACCCTCATCACACTGCCATTGCGACCACTAAGTAGTGGTTCTGAACACGCTTCATGGCCTGTCATAGCCCTTGTACACTTTGCGAGCCCTACGAAACCCTAAACAATCCCTCCCTAACCACTAAACTTCTAAATCGTCATCCCTAAACGGCTAAACTCCTGGCAAATCCGTCCCTCACCCCTAAGCCCTAAACCCTACACCCTAAACCCCCTAAACCCCCTAAACCCCCTAAACCCCAAACCCTCCGCCCTCTAAACCCTACATCTCTCCCTAACCCCTAACCCCCTACGGGGGACTTAGTAAGTAGGTAGTAAGTAGACTTATAAGTACCCTAAAATCATGGGATCATCTACTAACCCCACCTATACCACCCCCACCCTACAGAGTTATTTCGAACACCCTTAAACCACAGCTGTTTAAGCCTTATTTTGGTGGTCTTGGCCTTGGAACAGGGCTACAAGAGGATACGTTTGGTGACTAGATATTTTTGGCTTGGTGCAGGGCATCTTCGCCGGGAGGCAAACTGGGGTAGCGAGATCGAAGTGTCACGTGGTTCCTTTTCGGGTTCCGTTTCAGCGTTTAGAGGTTTGGGATTTTTGGGGTTTGTGGGGCCTCGTGGTGGCAATATGGGTTCATAATAAGACCAGCTAGGGCTTTGGCCGGTCACAGGGAGATTCGAGGAACCGCGCTTCTGTCTATCCAAGCTCTTATGTTGCCTGACAAGGGCACATACAACTTCTACAGCGACTGTTTCCTGTTTTCAGGCTGCAGCAGTCACGCAAGTCCGTCCAGGTAATCCTGGAGCGTTTCATCGCTCGGCATTGCATGGATGTCATTCGGGTTTCGCTCATTCCATCGACTGTAGCAGAAACGCAGCACAGCACGTAGACTGTCCAACTTTGTGGGGCAAGCCTGAGTGCCCCATTTTCTCTGCATGCTGTCCTGCTGGCCGACTTCGCCTGAAGAAGTAGGAATGGTAGATTCGTGGGTGTGGGGCTCCGAATTATAGTAGAAGCCAGAAAGTTGGAACATCAGACTCCTCATGCCCTTAAGGTAAAGTATAAGGGATCCTAGCACTAATCCTCCTAAAGCCATGTTCCAACTTTCTGGCTTCTACTGTAATAATCAATCCTAATAATTCTCAGGGCTGCACCCCGAACCCGAAAGCAAACCCTACAGCCGTTGTACCGCAACACATCCACTGCAAGAGCCCGAGAGCGACAGGGAGAGAGAGAGAGAGAGAGAGAGAGGGAGAAAGAAAGAAAGAAAGCGTGAGCGAGACGGAGAGAGAGAAAATGAGACGTGAGAGCAAGAGATGACGGAGGATGGACGACAAAGAGAGAACAGTGCGAAGCAGTAGCCTAGCTTCCAAGCCACATCCAGGTTAATTGAACTCGACTCGAAGCGCTTGTGACAAACGATTGTTGCTTGTTCAGAATGCTGCCGAGGCGCCAACGGGGTACTGTACCGAAAACCATTGCGCATGAGGGTTGTATCGGGCCCAAAAAACACCGGGGATCTCCCCGCCACCAGGTAGCAAACTTTTCAAATCTCGCGGTGTCAATTCGAATTGGCGCACCGCCTGCCGCCGATTCTCCTCGCGTTGCTCAGCAACCACATTGTCGGCTCGCTCTTTTGCTTTCTCGAAGTTCGCTTGTCGTTTCTTCTCGTCTTTCTCTTCGTCCAGTTTTCGGGCCATTGCGGTCTGCATCCCTTCGCCATAGACAGTGTCTTGGAAGAGTTCCATGGCTCGCTTCTTCATGTCCTTGAATGCATCCGCGTTTTCCACATCTAACTCCGAAATCGTTGCCAGCACAGAAAGGTCCACGGAGGGTGCCTTCTTGCCAAGCATCTTCTGTAGCAAAGCACTCCTGTTCTCCTCCGTCTCATCCGGGAAGACGTGTTGGAAGAGAGCTGCAGCAATATCGGCCTTCACGATGTTGCCGTTCTTGCCAGAGCCTCTGCCGGCCGATGGCAATGTCGCCCCAATGGACTGCGCAGCTTGCTTCAGCTGCTCTACCGTGAGTTGGGTTCCGCCAGCCAACAATGCCTCTTTCAGAATCCAGCCATCTTTGCTCAGCACCTCGAAAGCCATCGCTGTACCTCGTAGTTCGCGCGGCACACATGCTGGTGGCAGGATCCGGACACTGACTCCCGTCCACTGACACGTCTCTTCACCCACGTCGAAATTGAACATAGCACTGATGTCCTCAATCTCCAGGTCTGACCCCATGGTCAGAAATTCGCGACCATTGAGCCAGACGGACTGCACTTCCATGCCCACAGCACACCAACCATGGAAGCCAAACGACAGCATCACCTTGTCCTCATCCTGGCGCACAACTGAAACAACAACGACAACACTATTTTTGTTGTAGAAAGTGATACGTTACATGAGTTTAGCTGTGGTTGTGCACCGGTTGAATTTGAACTCTGAAAACTGGTGTCCTTCTTCCAGAAGAATTTCCCGCACTTCAACAGTGAAGCAGCCCACGCATGGCGGCAATTGCTGAAGCCGGTCTCCTTATCCTCGAGAAGAAACAGGAGTGCAGCCGAGCTGCGGTAGTGGCTCAAAGGTCCTGCCAGCCTCCATTTCGTCTTCTTGACTCCTGCTCCGCTGACTGGAATCTCGGATCCACGTGGCAAGGGCGTGGCGTTCACGTTCAAGCTATTGTTGTACTGCTGCGTGAATTCCTGACGAGCACGGCCGAAAAACGAACGCCATCTAACCCACTCCTGATGCACTGGAAGGTGGTGTTCCATGCCACTTGTGTCCTTTTTGCTGTACGGGGAGGCAATTGTGTAAAAGTACATGCTTGCATTGGACGCTTTCTGGTTCTTTGCATGTCTGCCAATGACGTCATGCAAGTGGGAGAAAGTAGATTCCAATACTTCTTTTGTGCTCGATGGGCCCAAAAATGACCGAAGCATAAGCCTCCGCAATTCGAAGGCCTCCAAACTCTCATCGTCAAAGTTGGAACGCCAAAGTCGAACCATTGTCTCTCGCGCCAGCATTTCTGTTGGCCACGCTAAGTCTTGGAGCACATCTGCAACCGCATGCGGTCCCTTGCACACAACCTCCTCTGCCTCAACCACTACCTCGACCAAACCACGCAAGTGCATCAGGCATGCTTGTCGCTCCTCCTCAGTCAACATCGGCTCACAGGAAAGGTTTCGGGGATTTAGTTTTTAGGTTTTGTGGGTCTGACCGGGCTGGGTTAATCCGATAGTCCTAGTCAGCGCACAAGAACAAGGACACGCCCAAATTAAGTCTACATTCACCGGAAGCAAAACAATCGCGTCCTGTACTGTACTACTATTTAATGAAAAAGTGTCCGCACACTCACACTGAGTCTGAGTGGGTTTCGGGACGGGCGGCGGGAGGCAGGAGGTAGTAAACAAACTGATTTCTGAACATCTGCTTGACTGAACATACTGAACTTACTGAACTGAACAGGGTGCGCTTGTCTCAGCAAGGAGGCCAGCCGCACCCAACGGCAGTGTGTACCGGTACAGCAACTGTCCCCACAAAATGTTCGATGCCAGATTCACGGCGAAATCCCATGCCTTTTGCGACAATGCCACATCGCTCGTCAAGTATGCATCCTCGGGATCCATCGGCGGATGGCACGGTGGAGCCAGCCTCATTTCACGATACATCGCTGGCGAGGCCGTCGCACCAAGGATATCCAAGACGACCTGAAAGTGCTTGCCAGCAGCCCGACTGGAAAACCAAAGCATCTGTGACTCGGGTCCGGCTTGCTGCGCCTTCAAGTCGGATGCATACGCGCGTTGCCTTTGTGTCATGGTACATGTTCCCACTCACTCAGAAATAGGATTGATCTTCGGATGGCATGCTCAACTCAACAAGACCGCGCTACTACTTGATTAGCTCCCGATTGCGCCCCCCCCCCCCCCCTTGGTTGCCGAACCCCTTTAAACTTTAAAACCAGGACCTGAACTAGCACGGCACATATCTACCGGTTCCGCCTACATGACTTCCATTCCAACTACCCGAAATCAGACCAACAAAAACATGACGAACTAGACCGAAAAAATCTATGCCCCACGCAGTCGACGACGGGACACAATGGATCCGTAATGTGAACCACGAGCGCCGCTGTGGCCCGAAGATCTACATCAGCCAAGAACTCTGCATTCATTTTGTGGGGTCCTCGGCCACTGTAGGCTTTGTACAACTCGCTGCGCGTCCATCTCTGAGGTGGATCCATCTGTTCATCTTCCTCTGCGCAATCCTCGTCCATGTCAAGTCCGCTCTCTGCACATATGGCCCACGCTGCTTCGCGGTGCAGGGTCCAACTCTGCAGAAGGTCACGGAAGACATTTATCATGCCAAACCAAACTTTGTTTTTCAGGAACAGTCCCCTGTTCTTCAGCGCATCTGCACTCATGAAGTCCTCAAGCATCATGGCTGCTTCCTCGCCGGATGCACACATGCTGGCATCCTGGTCCAAGCAAATCTCGGCAGCGACGTCTACAAAATAGTCAGGCGTTTGCTTCTGCAAAAAGGAAGCGAGCATTTCTTGTTTCATCACGAGACGGTCTCCTCCGGCATATGGACCGTGTGAATAATTTGCGATAACAGTCAATCGCAAGACGTCAAATTCTAGGCCACTGGTGGATGCCAGAGCTCGTTTGAATGAGTTCCACTTGGGGTGCGAAATCTCAGGCTGCGCCAGCCCTCTGCATCCCACATGCGAAAACAAGAAATGAAACGCCTTTGCTTGGCTGCTCTCTTCGTCAGAAACCTCGGCATACCACCCAAAAATTTAAGACGATTCAACCTTCATGCAAA